TACCACTCGCCCTACTGACAGTCTTCAGCGTTCTATCAAGTATGACATAGTCTTTTTAAGCAATCCAGGAAGGAATAAGGGTGAACAGTAAAGAAGAATAGGTAAGATGAAAGAGTTGACAAACTGTAAGAGGAGGGGTTGGGTTACGCCTGAGTGCCTTAACTTCTTAATGTAGAAAGTCAGACGAAATATTCTTTTAGAAATCGCTAAGACATGGGAGGACCAGGATAGGTCAGAAGAAAGAATTAATCCAAGATACTTAACTTCAGACTTGGTTTCTATATCACTATCATCAATTTTGCAACAGTCATAGGAATCAACGGCTTCATTCAACTTTCTTTTACATCGGAAACTGAAATTGACAGTCTGTCATTTGGAAGGATTTAGTTTAAGGCAGTTAGACGAAGACCATTTGCTAATTCCTGATAGAAAGCTGTTCATCTTAGTACAGTCTAGCTGGGAGTTAACAGACATTGAAATAGTTAGATCGTCCGCAAACCTAACAAATTTCGCTTCATCAGAGAGGGGCGAGACATTGAAGAGGAAAGAAAACAGAAAAGGAGAAAGGACAGCGCCTTGAGGGACACCAGTCTCAGTAAGCAATGAAGTGGACGATTTCCCTGACATACAGTGTACTCCTTTCTTCCTGAGAAATAAGAATGCAGCCATTTGACAACCCAACAGTCTGTCTGAGTTTCAGCAAGCTTGTTTAACAAAATGTCCCTAGGTACTGAGTCGAAAGCAGATGTGTAACCTAGGAAGTTGCAGGGAACAAATTTATACCCCTTGTCTAAACTTGAGACAGTGTTATGATGCAAGACTGCAGTTGCATCTAAGGTACTTCCAATATGTTTATAGGTAAATTGTTTGGTATCGTTAAAGGCTTTAAGTGAAGGTTGAAGATTAAGTAAGAGCAACTTTTCCATAATTTTTAGAAAAGGAGAGGTAATAGGAATAGGCCTGAATTTAATACATGTTGGAGTAGACGACTTAGGTGTAGGTACAATTTCAATGTCCTTCCAAACGGCTGGCACGGTATTTCTGGAAAAAGATTCGTTAAATATGTCCATGAAAGGATAACACAGGATATCTGCACACTTTTCAAGAATAACACTAGGCAAACCATCTGGACCTTGGCTACAAGAAGGGTTCAGAGACTGGAGACGTTTTAGAACATCATTAGTGTTAAAACCAGGGAAGCAGGTTTCATTAACACTTGTAACACTAGAAAGTTCGGCATATGTGGGAGAATGTATGAAGGACTGGTTTAGTGTGCAAACATCAAGGGAATAAGGAATACTGTTCATCTGCTTACCACCAGTAATTTCTTTGAAAAGTTTCCATATATTAGAGGCGTTTATGCAGGATATAAACTTCTGGTTATAAATGGAATTCAACCTGTGTAATTCAGACTTGATTAGGATGTTAATTCTGTTCAAACCAATGTTATCCTTCATTTTATATAACTTATCCTTTTCCCTGAGAAGTCTTTTAAGTTGAAGGGAGGAGAAACCGTAAAATCTGATGAAGAGCGTTTCTCTGGGACAACAGGTTTCAAGAAAAAATTTGAGATAACTTGTAATATTAGAGATTGTGTCATCAAGAGAGTCTTCATTAAACAAGTTCCACCTTGTGTTTTTGAGCATGCTTCTGAGGTTCTGAACATTCTCCATAGAGTAACATCCATGTACAGTTTTCTTGGAAAGGTGTGAAAAAGTTCTCCTTTGTAACTTTCCATAAATTTTAGGTAAAACCCGTACAATACAATGATCTGTTTTAAACAGTGGGTCTATTTTAATGCCTTCATATATATTCCGGAGTCATTTATAAATACAAGATCAAGAGAATTATCCAGTCTGGTGGGAAAGTTAACAACATTTTCATGACCTATCACTGTGAGAAAGCTGCAGTCACATGAATTAAAACCACCTGTCACTATGGACAGGGAGTTACCAAAAGAGGCGGCAGCGAAAATTGTGAATTCATGAGCAAACATAGATAATTCTGAAGTGCTACAACAAGGTGTGATATAAATATTTGTGATATAAATGAATTTGTATTTAGATAGGTGTTTAGGTCGACATTTGACAGTTATACAGTCAATATTATCATTTGAGAATTTGAAACAGACGTTGTTGGCAACAAACCACTGAGAATTGATGAAAGTAGCAACACCATGAACTTGCTTCTTCCTTGAACTACTTCGGTCTTGTCTGTACATATTGAAACCATTTAGTAAGATTAAATTATCATCATGTGAGTCGTGTAGCCAAGTTTCTTGAAGCGTTATTACACCTGTATTACGGTAAATATTTGAATATAATAAAGCATCCAAGTGATTAATCTTGTTCGATAATGACCTGCAATTTGTGCTCATAATCAAAGGAACAGTCATCTGATGCATTGGAGTACACTTTAAGGATCTTTTCCACCCAACATGATGCTTTTTCTTAAGGTTATTATATACTCGTAAATCATCCGGTTGAAAACATTTTAAATAATCGCAAGAGTAAGTAATACGATTTGGACACATAATTGAATAATTTAAACAAAATGAATCCAAGTAATCAGATGCAATATAAGTGACGGAAAATTTTGTTAGCCTAAGTTTTAAGCAGGCCGGCTCTATTTCAGAAGTGAAAATCTCAAACAGGCTGAATGTCCACTACATTTCATCAAATAACTTGAAGCAGCCTAGTACTTACTCCATTTGGAATAGCTGGTATGAAATGCATTTGGTGACGACGAATATTCGTGGAACCAGTACTCGTCTGATATATGGTTCACCTCTGCAAAAGAGTGTATACCACCGCTGATGACTTTCAGATGTACCTCAAACAAACGAATTTATTCTTATTCAGCTCAAATTTGAATGTTATTGCATTCAACAAATTTTTACGCCTCTTAACAAAAGTCACTAGATTCAAATATAAACCATTTTGCAAATTGCATATGATGATCACAAGTGTAGGAGAGCTGCACTAAGAAGCATTTGACTGGGAGGTTACTGAAGTTGATGAGTGACCTCCGCATGTTTGATTGCTTCAATGAAAGAAGGAGTGTAATTTCTTAATTAGCTGGTTACTGAATTGGATTTCATAATGAAACTTGTTTCATCTCAGTTTCACGGGTAATGTGGATGACAGTACGTCAATAAATGGGAAATGTGATGGTGTACGTCGAAGCTGCTTGAAAGACCTTAGCAGCAGTGAGGGAATATGATTATCATATCGAAGAAGACAACTGGTTAACGCATTAGCACACTACCGAATCTGATATAATGTTCGTTGTATTGTTGCAAAGACATATGCACAGATCACCAGTGCATTTGTTCAGAAAGTGTAGTGAAATGGGTAGAAGTAAAATCTCTATGGCCTGATGACAAAGCTATTTGAAACAGACAGACGTCTATGCTATCATTATTCATTCGTTCACATTATCATATTCGGATAATGTCACTGCTTGGATGAAATCACTTCTTCATCCATCATCAAAACACAAGTAAATCAATTCAGAAATATTCAAATGAGATAGTCTTTCTCAAGAGAGTTGTACCTCTGTGACAAGAATTCCCGATACACACTTCCAACTATCATTTACATCTACCTTACTGATGACGTATTATGTACTAATGCAAAAGTAGTTCGACTCCTATCCGACAGACTACTTATTGTTGAAATATATGAAACTCTGAATGCTGAACCATCATGCACTTCAATTTCTCAGTGTTGATGCAGCTATCATATATTTATTTCAATGAAATTATCTCTTTCATTCAATAAGGTGTGAGGAGTTATTGTTTGGAGTGATATTTCTCGAGAAACACCTAATTTCGTCCCTATTTAACAACATGATCAACAGAAGTTAAATAGATACGTGATGTGAAGAAAATGAAGCATGTCGACACAGTGATAATCTGCGTAAAAGAGAGAAATCTGATTCCACTTTACTTTTATTCTGAAACTAAGTACGTGAATAGATTGTAGTGAGCTCATCGATAATAATACCCTGTGTAGAGTAAAACTTCATTTGTACCTGGTTATTATCGGAAGTAGCAAGGATCATATTTACCGAAAAATTTGATATTTTGCACCCTGTTGTAATACTCTTATACACTTACATTCGTTTCATAAACATTCAAAACATTATCACAGAGAACACTGGAACAATGTTCATATCCAAAAATTTGTATATTTGCAATTAAAAGTGTTCTCTGAGCTGGTTGGTTTAGTCGCGAAGACTGAAGGTAAACAAGCGTCATTATTGATTATCTAATGTAATGTTATCAGAGAGTTTATTTACGTGGTCTCCCAACAATCTTATAAAAGTCACATATGTGAATACTTGAGCAGTATATTGGAATAGGAGACTGTGAGTTTATCACCTTGTCTTTTGTGTACGAGCACCATAGGTTTTGATATTCTAAATGGAAAATTATTTCACATTATGGTATGGCATGTTCATTTGTAATATTCAGATGATAATTATTTTTATTCTCTGAGTTTCCAAGTGGAACATAAGCCTTCAAACGCACAATTCCATGTCATCTTGCTATCTCCACTTTTTTTACTTGGCTCCACGGTTTCCCATAGGCTTTTATCTCCTACTCACACCATCTTCATTTCACCCTCTAACATCCAACGCCCATCCTTTTTCCACTCCAGGGTCTGGTGCGTCGTGTGAAACTAGTGGGAGACAATTTGCTTGTTGAGTCATATACTCATATTTGTATATCAGATTTGAAGAGTGATCCGCGGACCAAATAATGAATTCCACCTTATCCACATGTAAATGAGCATATATGTGTAGCTCACAGTAATGATTCCGTCAAAGGTTTTTTATGATAATCTGTAGACTCATTCGTATAGTACATTACTTAGTGTTTCGCGTGTTGATGTTCTTTGTGGTGTGCAATGATGAATAATTATGTCAATCATTTTCAGATTTACAAAGGAGCCAGGAATTACAAGCTAATGATGTGGTTCACAGCTGGCGACGCAATGGAGACTGGCGAGTGAGATAACATTTCAACTAATCCATTTCGATTTCAGTAAAGTCAGTAATGGAAGAAAAAAAGAGGAATTGTTTTTGCTGCTTGTGGAGGATTTACTTGGGTAAGTAGGTGCATATATATTTCCATCTACTTTCCAAAATCAAACTCCTCAATTCCAACAGATATACCCATATCATGAATTAAAGTCAAGCTGAAAGAAGAATATTCTTTTCAATCATTTCTCCTATTCAGGTTCTTACAATTATGAAATATAATATTTGTTGTCGTTAGAATAATGGCCAGTTATGCGGCGGATACAATTTCTACATAGAATAAAAGATTAGTTATAGGATGTCAAAATACATAGTCGTATATGTGTGACAAACGTGCAGTTGGCTGAAATCGATTACAAAATATTTCGATGAAATGGGAGAGAATGGTGGTGATTAGTCATAATAGATTTGTAGGCTGTGGGGTGGGAAAATTGACAAGTCAGTTCAAGATTACTAGAAGGTGTCAGGTGAGAGAATGGCTAGCACAAAGTGGTATGTATTAAAGAGAGGATAGTAAGACTGCAATGAGAGGTTCATAATGAAATAACGAATGTGTGAAATGCAACAGGTGGAAGCACATATTGAGAAAGGATATAATATCACTAATAATAAGTCCGGATATTATGAATGGAAAATTCGATAGTATTGAGAGATTGTTTGCATGAAGGGCATAAATTATGACGAATGATGAGAACAATATTAATAATTGTAATAATAAGCGAAGAAAGAAAAAAACCGAAACTGATTTGCTATTGATTTTGATGAATACATTGATGCCACATTGTATTATTCATTTCAGAACCGTTGGTTTCTTTATGAACATGTGCCTACTAATTACTCTGAGATTACGACTGAAGTACGAAATTTATACCATTATGATGGCATTGGGAGTAAGTTGTGCATTAATGGATTTTCTGTGTGAATGCCTCTCTGGTAAGTTTAGATTGAATTGCAGGGTCCTTGGTTATCCCCATGTGAAACTGTGTTTCTATAGAGCATCCCGCAGCAGACACTCATTTGAAAATACATACGAAATTGTAATTTTCATTGTTAATTTGGAGATTTCAGTCATTGGACACCTTCATTTAACCAACATACATCTCATATAGGGGAAGTTGAAATCAACAGATTTGACAGTTGCAATTGTAAACCATTCACTACTCAGCTTATTACTGTGCAACTGATATTTATTAACAACATGAAAGAAGGTTCAAAGAAAGTCTTTAGGTATTATTTCCTCGACATATCAGTGTATAGTAGACTCAGTGTATCACACCCTTGGCATTACTATTCCAACGTGGTTCTTTGTCAGAAGACATAGACAGGGTGCTTAGTGGTTGACGTTGAAGAAATTATCAGGCGAAATGAAGAGACTGGCTGCAGTAAAACTGGATCATCTTGAGTGTATGAAGTGAAATCGATTTAGAGGAAAAAACTGGTGTATAACACCTCGCAGATCACAAATAGTTCCAAACTACCTGCCAATGTCCGCAACATTAAGTTGTCCTCTGAAATGAAACGCACTGTAGAAATTTAGCCAGACACGTGGATATTTGTTTACAAAATCATGAAGACAACACGTGACGATGCAGAAAGCATCATGATTTTGACACCAAATCGACAGATTGCCATGATCGGAAATTCATGTACGTTGCAGATCACATCGATGCTTACTGGTCTGAAGTTTGATAACACTCTGATCTCTTCAGTGAATGCAACTACAATGATGACTAGCATATCACATTTCCCAACAAATATGCGCTGACTTCAGAAATGCTTTGAGTAATGAAATGTCATAATGTGAATGACCGCTATCGATGTAACATGAACAAACAAAGTAAAAGTGTCGAATATTTCTGAAAAACAAGTTATAATCTGTCTATTTTTCATAAAAACCACTGACGTTTTTGATTGTGTTGTCTAGATCCTTTCATGGACTGTCGTTGATTGTATATTGTGTTATCAAAACGGCATAAAAGACAGCTTGATCTCGTTCGTTATAACGGCTGTCATGGGTTCACTGGCAATGCTTCTCGGATTCAAATCAAAACAGTTAACACGGAGGGGAGATATTGTGTTCTTTGGAATGATTGCGGTATTTTGCATCATAGGAAGCATCTTCTGCATTTTATCTGATTACTACCATGTGAGTGTTTAATGTGAAGTAATGATTTTGTCTCACATCTTCCTTCGATGTAAACGCATATATGAGAATATATCTGGAAAGTTTGTAATTGCCTACGTATTGTGTTACTTCTATTTGCATCATGTATATAAACGAGTTTATGCCAGTAACAATAACAAGTGAATAGCAATTTAGCTAGGCACCCATTGCGATCTGAAAATATACTGAATGCTTGTGATTATTCCAGAGTGCTAATATGTGTATAATATTTTACTTGAAAGAAGTAGAACCGCATTTGGGTTAGCTTTGCGAAATGAATTATATTTCTAACGTTGAACTGAAGATGTTTTGACCTGTGATTAGACTAAGGGAAGATTTGTCTCCCGTTTGTTGGAATACTCGACGACCGATTTCTGTTTTCTACTAAATCCAAACTAATTTACGGTTTGTTAAACGTTTCTAATGATAAGTTCAGTTGCAAATCGAAACACTTCAGTAATGCCATTTGCATCTAAATGAAGACTTATACATTTTCAACATAGTCTTTATATTGTTTGTTTTCGAATTTTAGTTTCCATACAATTTACTGGGCGCCATATTCCTTGGTTGTGCAGTAATGCTCGTGAGTTCCAAACATTTTTCCTGAGGATGTTATATTGACACTTTTCAATGTGTAATCTATGTGATTATCTTAGTGACTATAGGAAGATATAAGTAGTGTGGTGAGGAACGTCTCCGAAGAACCATAGACAGTGTATATATATGTGTCATTAGGAAGGTCGGTGAAGACGAAACGCAACAGGAGTGTGGAGATGCTGGAAGAGATAAAGTGAGATCAAACAGCAATGAGGGATAAAGGCATTTTGCAGGAATGGATGATATTACTTTCAATTTGTGAAACCAGTGTAGGCTTCATGATTTTCGTGATTTCCGTTAATTTCTGAATACTTATTCTCTGCAGGATACTTCTCAGTTGGTGTAACAGTTAGTCAGGCATATCAGGTGATGCTGAATTCCGATATTTCATTTTATCGGTGGGTTAGGATACTGTCATCACAAACCTTTCACTGTCGAAATCCACTCAGGTTAATTGTGCCTTATCATTCAAAGATGCATTGAGATTGCATTTGTTAAAACAGACCTAACGTTTATTCTTCATATTCACTTCAAATCTTTGCAATTTTTGTTATGATATTTGCAGAAGATATATTTCACATCAATATGGTTAAAGTATTCCACAGAAGAAATAGTAAGATGGACAACATTTAAAGTCTACATTGAATTGTTCGAACTGCTGGGACTGTTCATGATGATTGCCATTTTATTCGATTACACCCAGTTAAGAAGAATACGGTTAGCTGATATTGTGTCATTTTCTACCTTTGATGATACCTGAATAAATAAACAAGTAGTTGTATACGCTGACTTCTGTTGTAAAGTCAAGAATTCTCAATATCATTAATTTCATTTCACTGCTTTAGAAAGCGATTTCAAAAATGATCTTCACATGTTTGAGTTTGTAACTGTAACTGTTATCCTGATAAGCAACGTGACGACGTTGTTATATTTTTGTTAAGTCTTGTTAAAGCATTATTCCCACTTCACATTCCTGGCGACCGAATCCTCCATCATAGTAAATATCTATCTGTATTATTTGTCGAGAACAGTTTTTGTGCACACTTATTACACCCCATGAGTGAATTTAATCGTGTCAGTTGGTTTGAACAAAATCGTATGCTGTAGACAATTTCACCACCTTGTGAAATCATAATCACATATCATCCATATTAACGCCATTTTGGTATGCAAGTACATCTGCACTTCCTCGGTATTGTTAATAGTTTTTAGTTTGTCCAGGTGTCCGCATCAGTTGACCACATCCGTTCCTTGAATTAAAACAAATTATTCGCACACGCTGTCGTAAAACCACGATGGGAGAATTGTACACTGTGAGGTTATTTCGTATTCTGACAATAAGTGACTCATTTCAGTTGTTCACATTCCTCCACCTCTGAAATGACACTCATGAGTTATTGAGAATATGGCGAAATTGGAATGATAGTACTCTATTCGAGGAAAATCTGTAATGAGAAATGAGCCTTCACAGTTTCTGGTTTTGTTATGCAGTAATTTCTTACTTAAATTTTAGTCTAATTACTAATGAACACGCTGAATATCGTTGACCATAGCTCTTACTTGGCTTCTCTGAGGCATTCAGCTTTAATACTTTATCCAATATTGTATCACAAACAGTCGACACTTCGAGATGATAGAAGAATGCTCATGTGAGGAATGTACACCGGCATAAGGCAGTGAGATTACATCATACAAATGGATTAAATACAACAGTGTTGCACAAATATGAGACTACAAATGCATTTGTGAACAGTCTTGATATGTTGTTTTCCGTCTACAAATGACGTCACAAGAGATCTTTCTGTGTATGTGCGTTCATGTTTTCATCTGTTGTTACATGTATACGATTAGGACTTGTGAACTGTGGTGGAGTAAAACTTCATAATATTATCTGATATTGTTGCCCATTGCATAATACTGTATAACACTGTGAGACTTAATCAATATAAATTTTCTACATAATAGAGAGGTACATGAAATTGATGACGTTATCAGACTGGTTGGACTTTATCAAATGGTATTGTGACTGGACAAATCACCCAACGTCTTGTTCCACAAGGCGTATTATCTATCTTTATATGAATCAGTATCAATTTCACTGAGTATTTTCCGTGTTTCATAATCATATTTAAGTGTGATTACTGAAGTGAATATGAACACATGGTGTGGAGTTTTCAACATGTCGTGTGAATGTGTCTAATTGTTGAGATGGTAGCTATATAGATTTTGATTTTATTGAGCCTAAAATCAAAAACAGAAAATCAGTTTAGATGGTTGGAGGCAATCGGCCACATTGCAAACCTGACTGATAGAATTCAGTCTGCACCAGAGAAAGCACTAGACACATCACACTAGTTAGTGCCTAGTGTCCAAACAAAGAAAATTAGTTCATTCAACTGGTTGCCCAAAACATCGATTGCACTTTTGAATCTTAGTGGAACAAAATTATCACTATGGATGAATGCGTATTCAGTATAGAAAAAATACCCATATAGACATTTAGAAAGCAAAGGGATAGAGCGAAGAAATATTTTCTGACTACTTCATCTTTAATTACACGTCATCATAATCCAAATCGTTTTATTTTCTTCATTAATCTGTTGCGTTATCAACTTGAGAACACGCTTATTCCTTGATTACTCTCCATTTATTCCAAAATTATGCGTTACACAATCGATGTGTTGCAATCATTTATACCTTTCAATTGTGTGTATTAACTTTCTTCGTTAATTATCACCCCATTGACATATTGATACTGACTAATTATTGTTAACAAACATATCAGTGCCACTTGATTGGCAGATTGCTGCGTATTGTAAAAAAATTCTATACATGTATATAAGAGTAGAGACAGAGATGAGGATCTAATTGAAAAGTGAATATTACTTCGCTCAGTACTTTGGCTTTCAAAATGTCTTAATAGGAATTTTTTCTATACTGAAATCTTCCCAACAGCAGTTTTCGTTTCCTTCCTTCCCTCCTTTTGAGATGAATCTTGCTGTCATGATCCTGGATGAAGTTAGTTCCCATTGGATTATGGTTCTGGCTGCCACTGGTGACATCATGATAGTCACTAACTGCCTCTGTGTGTTCGTGGTTGTCGTCTGGGTGACCCATGTAGATTGCTGACTCACTAGTTGAAAATTCTGACAGTCGATATCCACTCCATCTGGTCCCGCATATTTCCAGCAGTTCTATGCTATATTCTCACGTTTATGATATCGATACTGGCTCCATAAATGAGACTGCTGCACACCTCTTGAGGAATGTTTACGTAGGCAGAACTGCAAGTCAGCCTCTTCCTCAAACTTACTGTGGTACACTATCATATAAATCAACATGTTGTAGAGGTGTTTCAAGGACAAGTGAGATCAAGTCACGTGATGTCAGTTATATTCTGCAAATCCATCTGATCTGTGACGAAAGTGAGTTAAATTAAAACAACGGGTTAACGGTGTCATTTGAAAATTTCATACTGTCTGTAGGCTTGTCTGTCCACATGCAAATCCGAGGTTTCTAGAGTTTGTGCTATTTCAGTTTGTAATCTCTCTCTATGACGTCTAAGGTGAACAAAGAATATACGTCTATATGCGATGTTTTTAGTGAAATGATTCAGTAGAAAATGCCAAACATCCTCATGTAGAAAAACAGACAGGTGGTCTCGTGATCTCGTGGAACATCCTCTGAATATTTGGCTACTGAGATTCATCTCATGGTTTAAGTTGCCTATCTTCACTTATATTATTACCAAAATGTCTGCAGATTGAGAATGCATAAATTATCATGTATGCAGGGGAAAAACCCACCTATTAAAACAGCCTACTAACTACTAACAACATATAAGTAGGTTGTGGAGTCACATATAAATCTCTATTCTTTCTCGATTCCATCGTCTCTTATTATTTACATATTTACGTTATTAACGAAAAACCTCTGTACAAAATTTGTATCAAATACTTTCAACCTATTTTAGAATGGCAGTGCACTGATAACTCCCTTGTAAATGTTGACAGGAATTACATTCCGACTAGGCAATTGACAGCAATAATCACAAAAGTGCATTTAAAATGACCGTTATCATTTCTACACATGTGTGAAGAGGGGACGAAACGCGAAATTTTCTTAGACAAACCGGTTAATCCAAGCCTTTTACGACGGAAACGTTTCTAGATGGTCGCATAATGTGAGATGCAACCCAGAAGCGGCAGACTTACTGGAAATTAGGAAGGTGAAGTGACGGAATATAAAATTACATCATGAGTGTGAAAAATGACCAATCAATCTAAATGGACTATAGGTTTCCAGGCCGTAGGTGTTACGAACTTCCTGAAATAATTTGAGCGCCGAGTCAGGTTGATTCATTATAAATTATTTAAATTAATCCACGTGTTAAGAAATAAATTTAACGTTCAAAATCTTTTTGATTTTTAACACGCTGATATTAATAATTAAATGGACGTTGCCTAGTTGAATTTGGGTAAAGTGTTTATAAAAAATCTGTATCTACATCACAAGGTAATCGCTAAAAACACTAAGAATATTGACACTGCTTATAATAAACAAAGTGAAATAAAACAAAATAAATTTGAGAACATTACTGTGGCCACGGTAGTGTGAGTGAGTGTATGAAGTGCTCCTGAATTCGTGTGTGGACAGCCTGCCGTAAATGAATACAGAGATGTTTGTAATGACAGACAAATTACATACGACTCATTTTTTAACAAACATGACAGGAATCATTTTATGCATTCACTTTTGCATTGAGTGCATTAATGATTCACAGACACTTGACATTTGTTATCAACTCGCATGATGGTTTAATAGCAATTGCATATCCACTCGAAGGCTCGTCTAGTGATGTCACTTGGGGTTTCTTTAGAGTCTGGCCAATCCATCTCCATTTCTTCCTGCCTGTTTACTTCACAATTGGTTCCTGGTTGGTTCGCTCATTGCCAGAGATCTCTGTTGCAGCTCTTTTCTGGCCGG